AACAGCACATACTGTGCCGACCCTCCGTAAGGGGTAAAGGCAAGTTGATGATGATGTTTGACACTTATAATCCTGTAGGGTCAGCAGTATGTGCTGCCCTTGAATACTATCAGCCTCCATATCTGAATTCGCTTACTTAACTCTTAAAAGCCTGATTATTAATCACAAGCAAAAATATGCAAGTGTACCTTTTTGTTAACTAATGGGAAAAATAGTAAAAAAACAATATTTTTATATATTGTCTTTCTAAATTGTAAAGAAATTCATATCTACATTCAATCTTATTCTCTTGTTTATGTTCTCATCCTCTAGCCGCAGATGTTTATACTGTTAGGAATAAAATTAGTACCGTGCTATAGAATTGGCGCAACTCTAGATTATCGGCATAAACGTCACGTCCCTAGCTGACAGCTGTCAAATGTCACTAGAAGTATGGATAGATTTGGCGCGCATCCTAAGTCTTGACGAGAAGTATTGCTCTGAGTTAAAAGCGACAGTATCAATTAAATAAGTTGTCTAATAATACCGAGATATATTAACACTGAACAGTAAATATAAAAAAATAACAAAAAAGACAGACAAGGAACTTGCGAACCAACAATAAAGTTATATACGATCCAAGTATAATATTAAAATTCAGATACTTTGACCCTGTTTGACGTAAATCGAATTAAATGCATGCAATATATAAATTACAATTATTACAACACATAACTATTACTAGCTCAATAAAATACATAGAACTAGTTCAAAAGAGTTAAAATATTACTGTTTATTAATAAAAAATATAAGCTATTGAAAAATAATTTTAATAATTTAGGTATGCAGAAATAGCAGTGGTATACATACACGTATATTTTCTTAATAGAAACAATATTTTTAATATTAAAAAATTATTACTATCAGGATAATTTAATGTAGATTAAAATTGTCCTTGACAGTATTTAAATTGGACAAATAGTTTGGAAGATATCGCGAACACAAACGATAAGGGTAAGCGAAAAAGTAGCTCGCAAATTATTGGGCTTAGTAATATGGAATCTTGCATAGAGATTTTTGTTACTATGTAAAGGCTGAAATAAGGGGCTAATGCAAGTTTCGTACTTTTTAAAAACACCAGACGAAACGCGGAATTGCTTCCACTTCACGCCTGTTTTCTTTGTGGTTGTGGTATAACACCTTGCAAGCAGGCCCATCCGTGCAGAGATGTTAAAGCGGGTTCTACCATTGTAAAAACTGCAGTTTATGATAACTGATTCGTATTCGATCAAAATGTAATCTTACTAATATTATAAATGCGAAAGTTTAGATGGAGGGATGGATGGATGTTTGTTAGCGTTTGTAGCCTAAACGGCTGAACGGATCTCTATGAAACTTGGCACAGGTTTAGAGCATAGTCTGGAAGAACACATAGGCTACTTTTTATCCCGGGAATAGTTGCGGTTCCCGTGGGATTCATTAATTTAGTTTTTTAATGTTCACTCCATCATTCTGCAACAGTTCAACATATCTTATTGAAATTTGTATAGTTCGTATGTTCTTTAATACCACGCGGACGAAGTCGCGGGCAACAGCTCGTATAACATACAAATGAATAACTAGACATTGTTTTTTTTTAATATCTATTAAGATTACGCAGTAAATCATTATCATTGCTGATTGATGACTCAGTCGCACTTTGTAACGGTGTTTATCTTTCACGAACTACACAGTGTTAGGAAAAACACTAACAGATTGTGTTTCTATACTAATATTACAGAAGAAAACTTTGTTTGATTGTAATGAATAGGCTCAAATTCTCTCAGACTACAGCTAGTTAAAAAAATGTCTCGAATTAAATGCAATTATGATCAAGGATGAAAGTAAAGTAATTTAATTGCAAGGAACAAGTATATTCTTTTCGTATATTATTTACAAGCTGTTTATTAATAGTTCCCAAACATTAGTAATAATAAAATATAGCCTATGTTACTCACAGATAAATTACCTTTCTGATGGTGAAAGAATTTTTAAAATCGGTCCAGTGGTTTGTGTTATTTCAATACATACAAAAATACAAAAATACAAAGTCCTCCTCTTTATAATATTAGTATAGATTGTAATTTGGACGAAACATTTGTTTATCTATGCAGATGTTCGTATTCAATGATTAATTATATATTTGTCTTTTGATGTCAGAGTGCTCTCATTTATAATCTCACTGACCCAACACCAACCTTGAGCTCTTTTTATTTACGCTACAATTCTTTTAATCAAATTTCAATGCTTATAAATTCGAGTTGATCGACAAACTTCGTAAACGACTTAAATTAAATGAAAGCTATATAAATATATCAGAAAAAAATAAAATTATTACACCCTTGGCCAATAAACTTTCAGAAATGGACATAAGAATTTTTAATTGTTTATTTTTACTGTGGATAACGAACATTTTTAACCTTTCAGACTTTGCACAACATTCTCAATTTAAATGTCGTACACTTCTAGGTACCTTAATTATGTACATATATATAAAAAGATTAACAAATGGGTCGACAGTTTACTAATGAATAAGTATTTATTAATTACGACAATTTGGAATATAAATGGTTGAAAAATAATATGAAGTTATAAAAAGACGTAGTTACTAGCTTTCGCCCGTGACTCCGCGTGGAACTATAAAAACTGTGAATAGCCTATGTGTTCTTCCTGACTATCCTCTACATCTATGCCAAATTTAATCTTAATCCGTTCAGCAGTTTAGGCTACAAACTCTTACAAACATCCATCCATTTAAACATTCACATTTATAAAGTTAGTAAGATAGATAAAAGCATAATTTTTAATTTATTATTTTCCTTATTCCATTAAAGTTACTTCGGAAACCGTCTCCATGAAGATTTGAATCTATTAAATGTAATAAATATCCTTATGCCGAATTATATAGTAGTAAAATTAGCATTTTAAATTATTGGACAAAGCCAACCTTTTTGACCTGACGAATTACATCACACTAATAATATAGCATTAAAGATGGGCAGTCAAATCACTGATTTACTAAGATTTTCTCTACTAATCTTACTAATATAAAAAGCGAAAGTTTAGATGTATGGATGTTTGTTAGTGTTTGTAGCCTGTTTAACCGATTTTGATGAAATTTGGTATAGATTTAGAGGATGGTCTGAAAGAACACATAGGCTACTTACGGAGTCGCGGGCGAAAGCTAGTAATCAATAAATCATTCTGATGACTGAGGGGAAAATCATCATGCTAAGAAAAAATGCCTACCGACACTTAGATTTCACTGTTTGCTCTAACTAATAATTCATTAGCATTTCCTTGCGTCAATGTATCTTAGTCCGAGCCATATTAAGTGATATGTCGCAACACACCCTATATGGACTTAAACAAAAGCTAGGTTTCAACTGGTTGCTATACGGTTAAGGAAAAATGGACTCAAATGACGTGTGCAAACATGTTTATGTTATGTATAGAATTTATATGGAAATCCATAAATTTATACGAGCTATTTTGTTGTAACAATGTTTTTTATGTTTTACAATTAACGTGTTAGACTCATTTTGCACTAAGCATCGCCTATTGACTACAAACGGAACGAACGCAACGTGAAAACGAATCATTATATTGTAAATCTTTAAAAAAGTGCAAAGTAAAATTTAATATGCATTATGCAATAATAAATATATTTTATCTTTATAAAGAAGTTAGTTAATTAATATTTAAGATATTTTTTATCAAAAAAATACATTCGCGTTTTTGTAATCTTCGTAATAAAAACAAAATTAATCTTATTGAAAAAGAATTCAATAAACAAAAATAATTATTATCTTCTCTGTTGTTTGTTTGTTAAATAAAAATAAACAATGAGTTTCATTTACTTTGATTAATAATTTAGTTCAAATAAATTTTCGAAAAGTAAGTTTTGTTTTAGAAGTCTACCGTAACAATGAAAACTTTGCTGCCTGTTTATTAAAATAATGCCTTTAATGCTAGTAAATTAAAAAAACCACATAACACTGAAAACGATCTCGGCAAAAATAAAGAAACATTCGCAAAAACGCAGTTATATTGATAATTGTGCAATCTGGCGACCAATTTGCAGGCTCATATTACTAATTAAATTGCACTGACCAATTTCGCAACGAACCGATACTGTGAAATCTTTAATTGTTTCTTAACATCACATTAAAAAACAACTTTTCGTACACAAGTTTACAATTATTATATGACGTATCTAGCTGTTACCTGCGACTCCGTATAGGAATGAAAATGATAAATAGTTTATGCGATAATCATGTCTGCAATGAAATCCTATTTTACATTACGTCTGTTCTGGAATTACGTGACAATAAACATTTATCCTTTAAACCTGTCATTAACAAAGCGGATGATATCGCCCCCTTGTGGGCGCTGGAGGCGTGAGTGTTTCTTATGACTGGAAAAAGTTGGGAAGCTGTAGAATATTGCTAATTTTGAGTAAAATATATCCTTGATAATGCTTCTGATTAGATGAGTCCCGTTTTTATTTTAGGTAAAATTAAACTGCAGGCAAGATGGATAAAATGGCAGAAAAAAATGGGGGGGGGGGCTACAAAATAACCGATTTTTTAAATTGACGGTATACGAAATAAGTTTGGGAACCCATGCTGTAAATTTTCGCATTTATTATATTTGTAAGAATCGACAAAAATCAAATCAATCTTTGCAGTGTGAGGCAACCGTTATTACATTGATATTTATTTACATTAACATAGATTAGATAACGTTATTTCGTTACCGTTAATTGGTGTTTTTGTAAATGTAGATTAAATATATTTTTAATCGTATTTGTACTCCTACTACTGAGCTCTAATGCCAAAGTCCTAAATAGCAAATAGTCCACAATTCTTGTACTTTTGCAATATTTAAAAACGCTTATATAATTACAGTAGTTTCTTTAAAAATAGAACAACAGAATAATTCAATAATAAATTTATGAACATTTCTATTTATATACTTACTTTTAGAAGTCAATCCCTCCTTGACCGTCATCGTTATATTTTTAAACTCAATGTCCACAGATGTAGGCGGTGGCATATTTATCTGCAATATTCTACACTCATTGTGTTCCTTGCCGCGCACTTTTTGTCCCAGTCCCTGCAGCACTGCCAATGCGTTCGCCATTTTATAAATAACAACCAAAATCCCACTTAAAATAAACAAAACATAACACACCACCACTGTATATATACTCTTAATTACACTTTTCGTAGTTTTTTCTACCTCCAAATTAATTTTGAATAATTTTAAAATTAAAATTTATAAAGAAAAACTGGCACAAAACACAACGATGTGATTCGCCAACTTTGATATTTTTGCTTGCTCATAAATGACACATTAAATATTGCATGCACAGATATTTTGTCTAGTACGTACAAATGTGTACTGTAATTAAATAAAACATTTGAGATAGTAGAAAATGTACGCGTGATGGACGCGGTGGAAGCGCAAGCGCGGCTCTGTGCGTAGCGGCGCGCTGTCAGTTTCGAACTGAATTCATTGGCCACGTGTATGATAAGTTAATGCTACCGCGAACTATTTTTTTTCTGTAATACACATAATAATGCGCTTAATTTAAACCCAGCATCAAACACAATAATTCTTTTTTTAATAAATATCATAATTTTATCTCATAAATTCAAATCGTAATATAATCTCGTGATCCTAAGTTACTAACGTTGTGAAATTGGTTAGCTGATCATTATATGTCTTTTATAGTTTCAATAGCTTTCGCCTGCGACTCCCTCCGAATGGAAAAAAAAAGACAAAAGTGCTATGTGTTCTTCCAGACTACCCTCTATACTATACCAAATTTCATCGAAATCCCATTAGCTGTTTAGACTACAGACTCTAACAAGCAATCGTCTCCTCCTCAAAACATTCGAATTTTTATATTACTGTGATTTAATTTTAGTTGTTAAAAAACGAACGCATTTAGGTGCAAGTGGACCCCCTCCGCGTCTCCAGTTGACCTGAGGTCCACCGCAACTTTGAGAATCACTGGGTTACATCGTTTTTTGTTCATTTTTCAATTTGAGTTTTTTCGGTACATTCTTTGTATATTAAATCAACAACAGTTAAAGTCGAGGAATGTTTCTTTTAGGATGACAAATGTGAATATTTACTTTAAGGTATAATTATTTAACAATACCTTGACATAAATTAACACCCTTTGACTCTTGTTTACCTTATCGTGTATGTTATGTTTAGTTAGGTTTTAACTTCTGGAAATAATTTTCGATGATGTGGCAATATTGACAAAAATGTCTTTACGAAAATGTTAATTACCTGACTATAATGTTCGTAAGATACGGGTTTCTTACCACGATTGGGTTGTTTTAGCTCCCGATATTTCGGCACAGTTGCATGCGCCATGTTCAAGGGCTGACTGAAGTGATGCGGTAGTGTGGAATAATAGAAATATCGGGAGTTAAAACATTTCAAATCGTGGTAAGAAACCCGTGTCTTACGAAAATTATATTTGTATAAACCACTACAGTTTAAAGACATAATTTCCTGACTGTCAGTCACTCATCCGTACCAACACGTATCAGCTGTCTCAGTTTCATCAATGTAAGGGCGAATCCAGCTTTGGCGCCAGGGGTTCACATAGTCGTGGTCAAGTTAAGAGCTTGACAATATATGTAAATGTATTTTGTCAAGCTCTTGACCAACCAGCTCAGGGGGGGTCATGACCCCC